CCCTGGGGCTGTTTCCTGAGGTAGGGGCAGGAAATAAGCTCTGCCCGGGCTGAAACCTGTTTGCCCTTTCGAGGAATTGAACAACTGTGGAAACGAAATAGTGCAGGAGAGGCTAGGGAGGGGGCGGGGTCGGGGTCTGTCAGGGATGAAGCTGGAGTGAAAGTGGAAGGCTTTGGTGGGACTGCTACGCCAGGCTGATTCCTGCTAGAATGGGTGCTTAAGGAGTCTCTTCTCCTGAGGGTAATGGGACAAGGAACCGCCTTCATCCACACTACATATCCAGCAGACCCTTCGTTTCCAAGCTCAGGTTCTCAATCTGTGCTCTCAGCAGTCTCTGCTGCCAGGCTCCCATGCAACCCAGGTCAGGCTCAGCCCATGGGCTTGGTCCATGGGCTTGGTCCTGGGACTCGTCCTGCCGGGGAGGTCCCTGAACCCGAAGCTGCAGACTGGTGACATCAGCAGCCTGGCCCTCAGACTGGCTCCACCAGCCAACCCATGACCTGCCGGCTCTACCTGATCCTCTGACCCCCACCCCCACCCATCTGTCCTTCCTCTTCCTCCAGCTGCTCCACAGCCCGAGGAATGAGTGAGCTGCCTCCAGCTTCCTGTGTCCTTCCAAGTTTGGGAATTCCAAGTTGGGTGGTGGTGGTGGTGGGGGCGTGTTTGGAAGGTTCAGAGTAGGAGCAAGCAATCCCTTGTTTTCTTCCCCTGGCCTGGGCTTTTGGGGAAGCTTAAGCCATACTCTAAGGCTCAAGTGGGAACTGAGCACCTCCCTCCTCCCACCCCCCACTTCCCTACCCCCGCCCCAAGCTAGAGTACTCCCTTCTCTCACTGAGAGGAGTGTCTGGTCAGCTAGAGTCCTAGGTTCTCTAACCTGGAATTCTCCCTGGGAATCCTGAACAACTTGCTCCAGGCACCTGCCCTGTGTGCATCCCATCTCCACCCTGACACAGGGGAAACACCAGGATGCTGCAGAGAGAACTGCAAGGCAAAGAGAATGCCAGGTATCCTCAGGGAGGATCTCTTGGGAGTTCTACGGAAAGGTTGAGGCCCTCTTCTTGGGGCTTCTTCCCACCATCCCACTGGTATCCCAGCTCGGCCCATTGACCGCTGACCAAAAGACAGTAAAAACAGGGTTGGCTAGAAGATACAGGGAAGCCAATTGAAGAGAGGCTGATTTTGGTGATGCATCAGGTAGGGAGGTGACTCGAGGAGTAGGGACAGAGGCTCCAGGACCTGGCAGGGAGCCCTCCACACCCATGATGACCTTTTCCTGTCCAGCTCCAAGTCCCAGCCCTGGCAGGGGGTCTGCCCTCACCTCCAAAACTTTCAGATGCCACATCAGTGGAAATCAAAATCTCAGGCAGATCTGAGACAGGTCAAAGGACTTTGTTGAGGGGCTGTTTGTGCATCACCATGGATATGGGAAGCGGCTGGATTCTGAGGGTCCGGATGTGTGCATGTGCACACAGGAGCCCAGGTAGATTCCCAGGGAACCAGGAAATGCCTTGTCACACTCTCTCCCTCTTGTTTCAGTCTCTTTCCTCACCCAGCCAGGTTTGACTCAGTGCCCTAAA